GAAACTTTTGTAAAATTTACAATGTTTATTATTGTCTTATCCCAAGTTGAACTTGAGCCTCGATGGAAGTATTTCAGGTTTGTGTCTCTTGAGGCATGAAGAATTTCCAAGTGAAATTCTTAGATTTGGTGATTGTGGCTTTTGCTATGTTTGTATTTATTATCCCTTTAGAACAACATTTGATGAAAATCATCAGCAAGGTATATAGAACCAATTTCTGTGATGATTCATGTAGTTCACTGACAGTTTGCACTTTGACTTGAATTTTACTTATTTTTTTAAAAATAATTAGTGCTCCTTGCAGTTGTTACAGAGGAGGTTGAACAATAGCTGTTGGAAGCCTATGCAAATAAAATAGCAGAATCTTCATTATTGAGAGAATTCAAGATTTTCTCCAGTTAATTAAAGAAACAAGAATTACAGAAATTTATTGCCATTTAATTATGTCATTAAGGTAAAAGTTGGCTATCCAAGGGTGAAGGGAGGCTGCAGTGGACAACTCTGTAGATTGATTCTGATCTTCTGACTTTTCAGGTTTCCACCAATGTTTAAATTATGAATGTATTTTTGGAAGAGTGCAGCTAGACTAACACATTGGTGAAAAATACATTTAAGAATTTAGCTATAATGATATTGATGAATATTTTCCTAATGGATTAAAAAAAAAATTTCATGTGAGAAGGGCTACACATAGACAGGTTGCCTCTAAATATTGAAAGCTAAAACAGATAGTTTCTGCAGTGTAGCATAGTAGCATAGTTAAGTGTACTTTTTGACACTTATGACTGCTAACTTCTGTGTTTTTTAAATTAGTTCCAATTAGTTATATCATATAAAAATTGAGTATAACCTCTCATTCTTCTGGTTGTACATGATATAGAATGACATGGGTCATAAAATCATGTGTGCACATAGGGTAATAATATCTGATTCATTCTACTATACTTCCTACTCCCATGTCCCCTCCCCTCCCTTCACTACCCTCTGTCTAATCCAAAGTACTTCTATTCTTCTCTAGTCCCCTGCTCTCTTATTGTGATGAGCATCCACATATCAGAGAAAACATTAGGCCTTGGTTCTTTGGGATTGACTTATTTCACTTAACACAATATTTTCCACCTCCATCCATTTATCTGCAAATGCTATAATTTTTTCTGCTTTGAGGCTGAGTAATATTCCATTGTGTATGTATACCACATTTTCTTTATCCATTCATCTGTTGAAGGGCATCTGGTTTGGTTCCATAGTTTAGCTATTGTGAATTGAGCTGCTATAAACATTGATGTGCCTGCATCACTGTAGTATACTGATTTCAAGTCCTTTGGTATAAGCCAAGGAGTAGGGTATAAACCAAGGAGTGGGATAATTGGGTCAAATGGTGGTTCCATTCCAAGTTTTCTGAGGAATCTCCATACTACTTTCCATAGTGGTTGTACCAATTTTCAGTCCCACCAGCAATGTGTGAGTGTAAATTTCCCCCCCCCACCCACATCCTTGCCAATATTTATTGTTGCTTTTATTCTTTATAATTGCCATTCTGACTGGAATGAGATGAAATCTCAGTATAGTTTTGATTTGCATTTCTCTAATTGCCAGAGATGATGAACATTTTTTCATACATTTGTTGATTGATTGTATTTCTTCTTCTATGAAGTGTCCATTCAGTTCCTTAGTCCATTTGTTGATTGGGTGATTTGTTTTGTTTTGTTTTGGTGTCGAGTTTTTTTGAGTTCTTTATATATCCTGGCGATTAGTGCTCTATCTGAGGTGCAGGTGGTAAAGATTTTCCTACCATTCTGTAAGCTCTCTTTTATATAGGTATTTTCATGTATCAAATGGGGAAAAAAGATAGTACACCTTGGCAATATTAAGCTTAGCTGCTATTTATAGACTTATTTACCACAGTCTATATTTTTCCTCACTTAATTCCACAAAAACAAAACAAAACCTATGAGGTTGGTTTTATTATACAAGTGATAGAAACCAGCTTTAGAGTCCTTAACTCACCTGTCCTAAGTTATGCAACTGAGTGGGATTTAAATCCAGTAATTTGTGACTAAAAGATCATTCTCTTATCTGCTCTGGTGGGCTACCTCCCTTCCTACCGAGTTGGTTATGAGGATCAAATACAACCCTTTTAGTATAATAGAAGCCTTTTTTTTTTTCATTAGGCACAACCTTTTCAAGATATTTTTCCCTTCGTATTTATTTTCTGTTACATTTCATTCCTTTGTACTGCCAATAACGAGATAAAAAGGAAGGCAATAGAAAATAACAATTATGAAATCATGCCAATGATTAAAAATATCAAAAATGATAAAGAGGGTAACACCTTAGCATCTGTTTGAGCATTTCTTTGATTTGTCTTTAGTTTGTATCAGAAAAACCATAGTTATTTATAGTTTTACATATTAGAATTTGTGGTTAAGGAGGAATTATTTTATGATTTATATCTCAGTTAATAAAGTTATGTGGGTGAGTCCCCCCTCCATTCATGTATCCCTTAAAAGAAAAGCTGTATGGAAGATTACCTGCTCTCCTACTAAAATGGTCTTCTTCAAAAGCAGACATATACATACATGTGAAGCACATTATTTTCAGGTAATATTAGAATAAGACATGCTATTAAAAAACTGTATCTATATAGTGTGAAGAGCTATAGGAAGCCCTCCAGTACAGTGTGAAGAGCAGTTGGAGTGGAATAATCAAGACAAGAGGGATGGTAAATGCCATTAAAAGAAGTAATTTGATATATTATTGTCACAATTCAGTTTTAACACATATGAAAAGTTGAAAAATAGAAGGCAAGCTGGTTGCAGTGACACACACCTGTAATCCCAGTGGCTGGGGAGGCTGAGACAGGAGGATCGCAAGTTCAAAGCCAGCCTCAGCAAAAGCGAGACACTGAGCAACTCAGTGAGACCCTGTCTCTAAATAAAATACAAAATTGGACTGGGGATGTGGCTCAGTAGTCAAGTGCCCCTGAGCTCAATCCCCAGTACTTCCCCCTCTAAAAAGAAGGCAGGCATAAACATTTCTTAGTGTATACATTTACTTCACAAATTTAATTCACCAAACATTTTCCAGCTATCTTCAAAAAATGCCCTCTACTTAGTCAGACCCCCATATATTGACATATTGACGACCTAAACTCTTGAACTTTTGGCCTCAGCAGACATTATCTGGTCTCATCAATCCACAAGAATTTTTTTGTTTTTAAAATTTCTATAAAGTGTTTTAGGCTCTGATAATCTTTTGTCTCCTCACTCCCCCCCATGTCAGACCAAATTCCATCCTGTCTTCTCCTTTGATAGGCTACTTGAGCATGTTTTTTTTACCTTCCAGACTTTTTTTCACTTGCTTTTTAATAGCTCTTTAATGCTCCAAATGCCTTTCAAAAGGAAAACAGCAGGCACTTACTTTCAGCAAGTGGATGAGCTGCCTGACTCTGCAGAATCTTTTCTCCCTTCCTGGAGTCCCTACTGTTTTGAGCTTCCATGCTGTTTCTTCACTTTTCTTGAGATTGTGGTAAGGGCTGTGTGTCAGACTCCAGGGAAGAGTCTTGGGGCCTCTGCAAACTTCTCTTGGTCCTTTTCCATTGGTACCAGAATGTATGTCTGGCGGGCCATGTAATTTTCTTTCAGGGATACACTAATATTTTTTTCATTATGTTTCAACACTCCTCTTCCCATAGCATGACCAAAACCATATTCAGGGCCATTCTCTCATCTCTGTAACCTCTTCTTTTTCTCCCACTTCTACTTCAAAGTCAATTTTTGTTGATCATTTTAATCTCTTACTTTTGTGTTCTCACCTTGTGTTGTTCAGTTGTTGCACTTTCAAACAACACAATCAGATTGTCTTGCTTCTCCAGAAGCAAGAACTTTGTCTCCCTCAGAGGTGGTGCTTCTGGAATTTAGCATAGCATGCCGTCCATCATAGGGATTGTGTAGCAGTAGATAGAAAAATCAGCTGTTTGATGAAATCTCTACCTTTATATAGGGTGTATTCGGGTTCAAGGCTCAGCAAGAATAGGAAAGTAAAATGGATTGACTTAGAGAATACAAAAGAATAAGAAATGCGTTCTGTTCATTTACAGAAAGAGACTAGAATTTGACTGAGTGCAGTGGCACATACCTATAATCCCAGTGGCTCAGGAGGCTGAGACAAGAGGATCACAAGTTCAAAGCCAGCCTCAGCAAAGGCAAGGTGCTAAGCAACTCAGGGAGACCCTGTCTCTAAATAAAATACAAAATAGTGGTGGGGGATGTGGCTCAGTGGCCAAGTGCCCCTGGTACCAAAAAAGAGACCAGAATTCCCCATGTTTTCTAAAGTTGACTCCAAAAGTACAATGGAGCTCCTCTCACGTTGGAGTGAAGAATTAGGCTCAGGTCTGTGTTATTTGCTGATGTCATTTTGATATCTTCTGTGACTAAAGGTCAGGTAGGGTATAAAAGCTTCTCTGAGCTCTGATATCAATGCATTTAAAACCATGCATGTTGAGAGCCCACTTTACCTGGAACTGCAGATACAAAGATGACTGGGACACTATCTCAATAAAATAATGCTATTTTCTCTCCCAAATCAACTATGCCAGTCACTTCAGCTCTCTCTATTCCAGACCACTCCTGAAGATTTTCAATACTTTTAAAGAACTCCAAATGGCATATTTACCCAGATACATCATTCTTTTTTACTCTCTGTGAAGCTAGCTTTACAGAGGGTAAATGATATACTGAAATAGAATTCTAATAGCTAATATTAAAATGGAAGTTTCTTACTATATGTTATATTTTTTACTTATTTATCATATAGTGACTATATACCTAGAATTGTTCTGTTCAATGGAATACATAGATGAACAAGAGAAAGAATGTTCCTCTTTTCTTGTGCTGAGAAGTTATATTCTCATGAGGAGGCAGACAATAAACCAACAAACTGTATCAGTCAGCATTTATCCTACAAGAGTGCTGTGAAACAAACAACTCCAAAATCAATCGCATGCTCAGCATTCATTTATTTCATGAACGCTTCTGTGGGGCTGCTGGAAGGTGACTGATTCAGCTAATCTGGGCTCTAAACTATTAGTTGGGATCATATCCTCTTCCTTGTATCTTCTGTCTCTCAGAACCAGCAGAAATCTTGAGCATTTTCTTCTTACAAGAAACTATAAGCATGCAAGAGAACAAACCAGATTGTGCCAGAAAGTCTAAATTTCTAACATTTGACTAACATTTCATTAGCCAAGACAATCACATGTTAAAACCAATATGAATGGATCAAAGTATTTTTCATGTATGGTGGGAAGAAAAATGGGGTCTTGTAAGAACTATATTAATATCTTTCAAGGGTAGTGACCCCAATGGCCTTACTGCCTTCCAGGAGGCCCCACATCCTAAAGCTCCTCCCAGTCTCAATACTGCTATACTAGCAATTAAGCTTCCAGCACATGAACAATTGGGGCACATACTCATACCAGATCCAAACCACAGCAGTATGTATTTTGCTGGGAGGGAGTCAAGAATTAAGAGTCATTCAATTTAGTACATATGCAAATAAGAAAATATCAGCTAGTATTAATTATGGGAAGAAAATCAAGTTTAGAGAATGCCTGGAAAGGCGCTAGAATAGTTTCCTTGAGATGACATTTTGACTGAGACTGAGTGCATTCCAGGCAAAGGGAACAGACAGTGTAAAGACCCAGAGGACAGATAAGATAGAATGATGGAGAACTGAGATAAGAATATGGGAGGATGACAGAAGTCTGTGAAGTAGGTACTGACAAGGTTATGGTCCACGGAAATGCCTAAAATACTAAGAATTCCTGACCAAAGAACTATTAGCCAAAATACCAAAGAATAAATAAAATGGAGGCTTCTGGAATAACTTGGCTTCTTAACAGCTCCAGGTATTTCTTTCCCTATGGGCTTCTCAGAGCTAAATGAAAATATAATGGGGTTCTAGCCTTCCCTCCCCTCTTAGTCTCACTCTTGGGAGGATCCATATTCTTTGCTCCCCAGAGGGTTTTCTAGACCTAAAATAGTAGTATCTCTGACTCGTGGTAGTGTCTTTTCTTAGGGAAGTTCTTATGCTGGTGCTTTTGACAGGGAAGAAACACTGGATATAAAACCCAGAGGTCTGGCCCACACCCTCGATAAGTTGATGATGAATAGAGGTGCAGAATAAATTTCAGTGGGGCCCTCTCAGGACCACCACCACTGGGGTCACATGCAAAGTGACCAGTGTCTCAAAATTTCACCAAAATAGAAACACAAAATGCTTTAAATCATGAGGTCTGAAGCACTTTCTTGAAATGACCTTAGATCTTTGTCCTATGTGAAAATTTTTGTTTAAAACGGGCATTGAAATTTGTTCGATTTCCTTTTGTTCTCATCTTTCTACAGATTTAAGGAAAAGACAATTGTTCCATTTTCAAACACATGACAAAAGCAAATCAAAACCAGGGACATGGAGGAGCTTCTCTCTGTAGGTCACAGGAACACCTCTACAGGTATGCCCTGGCCTTCTGTTAAGACTCACCAGCTAAGCAGTTGAAACACACAGCTGTAAATTTACAGTGTAGTACCTTTTAGCCAGAAAGAGGTTGTGTCTAGACGAATCAGAATATGCTGGCTGGCAGAGCTCAGACACAATGATGTGGTTTTTCAGGAAAAATAAATGTGACAGTGTTTATTTCACACACATTTGTTTGTCAGAAGACTTCAAAGCGGTGGGCAGAGATCAGTTAAGCATTTCCACCTGTCCCACAGGCTCTACCTCTTCTTTTCAGGTGAGACTATAGGGTCATCAGCACGCAGGGGAGGCTCATCCTCTGTTCATCTCCTGTGCTACAATGTAGGACAGGAATCCTGCCAGGAGGAGGACTTGGGTCCTGGCTCCTAACCACCCCTGTTGGACTCCAGCTGCCAGCACCGCCCATAGAAAAGAGCATGCTTCCCTGCCTTTAAGAAAGCTTGCAGCCCACAAGAGTGGAAGGTTAAAAACCTATAGGATGGTTCAATCAAAGGCACTGCCTTCCTCCACCCTTTGCCGCTATTGTACGTTGGAACACATGCTGCTAGGAGACAAAGAGGACATGCGTTTATTTTCAAGCATAGGACTTTGGAACCACTTGGGAAGAATATTCTTGATTGAGAACCAAAACATTCCATGATGCTTAACAAACCTGCAAATTGAAAAATCAGCATTGGCCCGTGCAGCCAGGAGGCAGGAGAAGGACCTATACCCTGGGAAAAAAAAAAAAAAATCAAAATATTCCTTAAATGATATTTGTGCACATTTGCAAAATTACCGCTTTCTGAGTCAAAGTCTCAAGCTGTTTTCATCTGAGAACATATGTTGTGCCGTTAGACAATATCCCAGCCTGCCGCCGTCCATGACATAGCCCGCCGCCTCACATAATGGACAGTCCCGCGAAAAGGGAGCCGTCGCTCAGTCAATGCCCCTGTAATAATATTTTAAAATAAATGATATGCATCATTAAATCACCGAGGATGACTAACTCAATTTTAGAAAACCCACAACTCCAGCAATCATAGTTACAGCTCTGATTTGAATATTTTCACTTTCACCTGAGCAGCCAGTGGGAGCCAGTCAAGCAGATTCAGCATCCAGGCAGAGGAAGGCTGTGTCTCCCAGGAGCAGGAGGGAACCTGTGATTATGTAGTTACAGTAACGTCGGCAACATGCCTCGTGTCCGCCTGGGCTTTCTGGGCTTTTCCTTCTTCCCTTCTTGCCTTCTTATTTACATATCACAGGCATCTTCTTTGTAAAGTTATTTTAAATAATTTATTAGATTGATCTTTAAAAAATTCTACCATGGCTAAATGTCATAAGGAAAAAAAGAAAAAAGTCTTTCTAAACTTATTTAAAGGTTTCTACTGGAGTAGGCCAGTTACCTGCTCCACTGCTGATATTCTAAAAATACCTCCATGTCCATACTATTATCCATTCTTCACGTCCAATTGCTCTGTTATGGTAATAGTCAGAAGCACACCATGCAGTAATTACTTACAGCTGACTGAAGAAAAGAATATTCAACTCCCCCACTGTTCCACTAGAAGGTCTTTATGCACTATTAACTCATTCCTGTTTATTAATACTCTACTGGTAATTCAGACTGCTGCCTCTTAGGTTTGTAATAGGAGGACTATTAAACAGCAATTACTGACCATATGGGTTGGCGAATATTTGTTGTTTTTTTTTTTTTTTCGGTGAGCTTTTTTTTTTTTTTCCCCCTCCTTCTTCCAATTTGGTTTTTAAGAAGCCATAGAAGAACATAGTAAAAGTATCACCACATCTGCATGAGATTAACAAGCTTGGCAGAATTTCTCCCTTAGAAAATCTGAATTTAGTCCCAGATTATCATTGCTAACATAGGGAAAAGAGATCGTGGGAGAAACAGGAAAATATGCAAGATTGTTCTCAGGTGGGAAGACCCCTACTTTGCAAGATTTTTTTGGATCATGTGTTCCCTAAGTAGGCTGTTTCCTCTTTACTGACTTTGAGAGGCCACTGACCCAACCTGAGCCACCCCAGCATTTGAAGAACAAGCATATTTTTTTTTTTTTTTGAGGAATCCAAATCGAAATACCACTTTCCCTTTCAAGTCCCCCCCCCCACCCCAAACATTTGGAAGTGGTCACTTTAAATTTTAAGATTTAGTAAATTCATCTCCCAAAGAGCAAATAGATGAACCTGGGAGATGAGGAAAAGCTCCTCCTGGGAGAGGGACGGTGTGAGTAATGGGTTCAAGTGAGGCAGGCAGGTGGTAAACGATGATTATGGTGATAATAATGTGTGCCTCTCTCGAAGGTAGTGAGCACTAAGCACATTGCAAGCATTAAACACATTCAAATGAAGATGCTTCTTTAAGATATATAGGATCCCTGGGAGATAATTTCCACTGGGAAAAGATGAACAGAGATTCAAGATGGGTTAAGTCACTTGACCAGCATCTTCTACCAAGGTAGTGCCAGAGGCCGGGCTCTCTGACATAGCCGTCTTTGTTCCAGAGCAGCTGGCTTCCCTAGTGCCCTTGGTCTTATCTTCCACCTTCTTTCTCTGTGAGGAGTCATTCTTACTGTGGCCAAATCTTTGTAGCCCTCTATAAATAGATCAGATGCCAGGGCTGGTGGTGTATGCTTACAGTCCCAGAACTTGAAAGGCTGAGACAGGAGAGACCACTTGAGCCCAACACTTAGAGACCAGCCTGGGCAAAATAGCAGATCCTGTCCCAGAAAAACAGAACAAACAGAATGAACAGACCCTCAACACACACACACACACACACACACACACACACACACACACACCACTCACTCCAGGGTGCTTGATCTTGCCCTTTGCACACGGACAAGTGAATTTAGTGTCTGTACCACACCATTGGCAGGTGGTTGTAACTAATTTAGCATTCTTCTTTGTCACCTGCTGGTTTTGTGTGTGGAAGTTTTTCTCCCAGTTGTACTCTAAATCCTTGAAGACAGGAGTCATATCTTTTAAACATTTTTTTTTCTGTTTATCCTTGAACTGAACTCAGTAACGGACACTTAGTTGGTACTGAATAGGAGTTGGAAGAATTTAATGGGAATATGTAGCGTGAAATAGCACACCAGTTCCTAAGTTTGCATTATTCTGTGGTGTTGTAGGAGCTACAGTTTATGAGATAAATATGCAATTTCCAGAAAGCAAACAATAACAACAAAAATGAAATGACAATTTATTTTTAGCCCCAAACCAAGCTAATGGACAGCCTAGGAGAACCTATAGTTGATGCTCAATGAATGTATGTTGCGTAGTATAAAACTTGTTGTGTCAGACCTGCTGAAGATCCTAGAACTGTGTACAGTGGGTCTATACCATGTGGATGATGGCAAGGAATTTATTTTGTCCATGCCCTCCTGATTGGATCTAGAATCCCAGTTTGCTTATGGCCTACTATATCCTAAAAGTGAGGAAGGAACTCTTCCAACAGTCTCTGTGATGGACACCCTCAATAATGCAGCTGATCAGAAGGACTCGATAATCAGGAAGGCACTATGAGGATGGCCTAACCCAAACCTCTCAGAGTGAAGGGGCAGGAAACACTCCAGTGCATTGCAAATATAATTTTTATTGTCATGGCTTATACAATAGAATTATTTTTCCCATTGAAATATTATGGAGGGTCCTAATGTAGGTAGCAGATTAAGGGTCTGGCTGAAGTTGAGTTGCGAGGTAGGGGCACCTAATCTGAAAGCTCAGCTGATAAAGCCCAGAGGCACCTCTGGGAGACCCAAGAGTCCTGGAAGCACAGAGTGAAAGACACTTACCTATGCAACCTCCTTTGATACAAATGGACAGACAACACTGTCTCAGATCCTCATAGCTAACAGCAGGGGTGTCTCTGCAATCCATTCTTTTCCCCAGCGTCATTGAAGTATAATTGACAAAGAAAAATTATATATATTTAAACTGTACAACATGACGTTTTGATATACATGTGCATTGGAAAATAATCACCATCAAGCTAATTAACGTATTCATCCCAACATTTCTTAGTTAACTTCGTGTGTGTGTGTGTGTGTGTGTGTGTGTGTGTTGAGAATACTACTCTCAGCAAACTTCAGGCATAGAATATTTACTATCAACTATAGTCATCATGCTATACATTTGATCCCCAGAACTTTTTCATCTTATAACTGAGAGTTTATTCACTTTGATCATTGTCTCATTTTTTCCTACCTCTTTGCCCCTAGAAATCCTCTTACTCTCTGTTACTGTATATTCATTTTTTTTTTTTTTAGATTTCACATATAAGTGAGATCAGGCAGTATTTGTCTTTTTGTGTCTGGCTCATATACTTAACATGTCCCCGTTTTATCCATGGTGCAAATTGCAAGATTTTTTTCTTTTCTTTTTTTAAGCCCAAAGAGTAATATTCTAGTGTGTGTATGTGTGTGTGCACGTGTTTCACATTTTCTTTATCTGTTCATCTGTCAATAGATCCTTAGGTGCTTTTTCATATCTGGGCTATTGTGAATAATCAATTGCGTGTTAGTTAGCTAAGCTTTTATCTGTATTGCCTACCTGTGCTAGTAGATTAAGTTGTTGTCACCAGAAGGCCACCATTAATAGATGTGTATATTACATTGGAGAAACAGGCCATTAGCCTGCCTCTTAACACAACTGAAATAGGTTTAAAGTGAAATGAGTCAAAGGGAATTGGATGGTATCTTAGCTTTCTCAGGCTGTGTATAACAAAACACCATAGACCCGGTGGCTTAATAGAGAGGCACGTATTTCTCACAGTTCTAGAGGCTGATAAGTACAAGATCAAGGTGCCAGTAGATTCTGTTCTTGGTGAGGGTTTCAGATAGTCTTCTCCTTATGTTCTTGCATGGCCTTTCCTTTGGTGTGTGCAATTGAGAGGAGAGAAAGATAAGTCATCTTCTTCTTCTTTCTTCCTTTTTTTTTTTTTGTAAAGTTATTAATCTCATCATGAGGATCCCAATTTCATGACCTAATGTGACCCTGATTACTTCCCAAAAGTCTCATCTCCAAATGCCCCCACAACTGGGGATTAGGGCTGCAACATTTGAGGGAGAGGAAACACAAACATTAGTCAGTAGCAGATGGAGTGGGCAAATTTCCTGAATAATGAGAGAGAGATGCTTAAGGATCTTACATGACAAAGTAAACGTGGGGTGACTGTGGTTTGTTTGAACTTGGCCACTCCTGCACTTACTTGGCCGCTCCTGTACTTGCATGGCCAGGGTCCCAGCACTGTTTTCAGCTTAATGTGGGAGTCCTATGCCTGTCTGGAGCTGGGTCACATGTTTTCATTAATTTAAATCCTGCCTCAGGGGAAAGGAACCACCACAGGAACTTCCTTATGGGACTGAAAGTTGAGTGTCTCCTACACATAACAGAGTATAAATTATGCCATAATATTTTGTAGCATTTTAAAGATTATTTTGGGAAATGGACATATTACAAATTGTTCTTTCATTCTTTTACTTATAGAGACAGTGGCAACAGAATGTGGTAAAGACTATGGTATGAGGATTTAAGGTATCTGTATTTCAGACCAGATCTTTTTCATTTATTTATTTATTTATTTATTTATTCATTCATTCATTCATTCATTCATTCATTCATTCATTTATGATACTAAGCATCAAACATGCTAGGCAAGCACTCTGTCACCGAGTCACCCTTTTAACCCTAGACTAAATCTTTCTACTAATTAGCCATGTGTCTTGGAGACATATTATTTAACCTTTCTTTACCTCACGTCCTCATTTGTAAAATAAGGCCCTCTGGCCGAGATTTGCTTCAGAAATATGTTGGGCCTTCCTCGAGACCCCAACAAAATCTGGTGCTCTTTATATAGCAACTCTGAATTAAATTGTATTAAAGCAAAACAAATTATTATAAATAGTCATATTATGAATAAAATCCTCATATATGCCAAGAATTATAAATTAGGCTGCATGACAAAAACATTTATTTCTGATATCAGTGGAAACTCAAGATAATTTAGCAAAGATGGTATTAAGCCTTGTAAATATCATCCAACTGTGACTTGGAACGTTGGAACTTTCCCCATGGGCGAGAACATCTGGGCATTCTGTAGGCTTGAATTCAGAGATTCACTTATTCAATATGTACTTGCTTTGTTTCTTCCATATTTCATTATTCAATTAATAAACATGTATTGAGTTGTTCCTGGTAAATATATATTCAATATATATATATTTTTTTTGGGGGGGGGAAGGAGGGTTCCAGGGATTGAATTCATGTGTATTTGACCACTGAGCCACAACTCCAGCCCTGTTTTGTATTTTATTTAGAGACAGGGTCTCACCGAGTTGCTTAGCACCTCACTTTTGCTGAGGTTTGCTTTGAACTCGTGATCCTCCTGCCTCAGCCTTGCCAGCCGTTGTGATTACAGGTGTGAGCTACCACACCTGGATTCAATATATCTTTAAGGAGGACCCTGCTGCATAGATACATAACATTTTTATTGTTAATAATTACTATCAATAAAAAGGC